AGTAGTACGAGCACTAGTACTAGTACTTTATCCGTAGTAGTAGTAGTAGTAGTAGTAGTAGTAGTAGTAGTAGTAGTAGTAGTAGTAGTAGTAGTAGTAGTAGTAGTAGTAGTGTAGTAGTAATAGTAGTAGTAGTAGTAGTAGTAGTAGCAATAATAATAATAAGAGGCGACCCCCTACCAACTACACTTGCTCGAAACCGTCTTAAGAGCACATCCGTTTTACTCGGTTATTACAGCACATTATAGCACATTCGTCATGTACGATCATCATAAGAAGCCTCAAAATCGACTTGCCGAGGTGGCAAACTAGGCCTCTTGATTTTGGACTTGCCTCTGGGTGGGGTGGGGGGTGGGGGGGATGATGACGACAGTGTTACGCATAAGCACCACCAACAATATCACCACAAGAGCCGTTTTCACCCGGTATTTACCGTACATCGTGATGTCGTACTTTCTTATATAGTTGCCACCCCTACTTCTGGACTTTGCGAACTCGACCTTGGGATTTCGGAGACCTTTCGGCGAAAACTCGAAATTGGGTGGGGGCAAGCCCTTTCGGGGATGATCACGACACGGTTTCGCGGACACCCCGAACAATATTTCCCACACACGGGCGCGCACACACCACAGAGTACTTCAAACACAAACCCTCCTACGCCGAGGTCTGGGCTTTAGGGGTGCTGGCGAGCTCCTCCCACATACAGCTAGCATCTTTGTTTTTGATGTTTATAAGATGTTGCGCTTCAGGTTTTAGGAGTGCTAAAAAACCTTCGTGGCAGCACTTGCGTTTTGCACGGTATTTACAGCGATTTTGTACTATCCGACTACCTGTGGTTTAGCAATTTCCTCGCCGTTGAGTTTGAAACTCCAACTGCTGTCGCAGTTTTGGGGCCTGAGCCCTTGCAACTCCACCAGCTGTGACAATTAAGGAGGGTGAGCCTCTACAATTTCTGCAGCTGTCACAGATGGGGAGCCTGAGCCCCTGAATCTTCTGCAGCTGTCGCGATTAGGGAGCCTAAAGATGCCACTGCCCAGCCCGGATGGAGCAAGTGTAATTGGGGGTGGGGGTGGCTAGTAGTACTAGTAGTACTAGTAGTAGTAGTAGTAGTAGTAGTAGTAGTACTAGCAGAAGTAGCAGAAGTAGCAGAAGTAGTAGTAGTAGTAGTAGTAGTTGTTGTAGTTGTTGTAGTTGTAGTTGTAGTTGTAGTTGTAGTTGTAGTTGTAGTTGTTGTTGTTGCGGTAGTGGTAGTGGTAGTGGTAGTCGTGGTGGTGGTAGTAGTAGTGGTAGTACGAGTACTAGTATGTACTAATAGCAGCTGCAGTAGCAGCAGCGGCAGCAGCAGTAGTAGCAGTAGGAGCAGTAGGAGTAGGAGTAGTGGGAGTAGTGGGAGTACTGGTAGTGGTAGTCAGAAGGAGAAGGAGCAGTAGGAGGAGTAACAGTAGGAGCAGGGTCAGGAGCAGCAGCAGCCCGTCCTGTAGCAGTAGCAGCAGCAGCAGCAGGAGAAGGAGCAGTAGCAGGAGCAGGAGGAGGAGTAGGAGTAGGAGTACCAGTAGGAGCAGGAGCAGGAGCGTCAGTAGGAGTAGTAGTAGTAGTAGTAGTAGTAGTAGTAGTAGTAGCAGTAGCAGTAGCAGTAGCAGTAGTAGTCGCGGTAATGGGAAGTGCCATCAACTACGGAAGAAGCAGCTCTTATTCTTATACTGCAAGAATGAGCCCGGAGCTGCTGACCTCGGAATGAGGAGCGATTCTTGTTGGTGATGGTCTATCTGGACCCTATCTCTTAAGAACTGATGCCGAAAGGAAACCATAATGAGGAAAGGTCGGTTATTTAGGGTTCACGTGGGGTGCAATTAGGTCAATCATCGCGGGCACGAGTTGCTTGATGCGGGTTACCGACGGGCAAAGGGCAGGAGGAGAGTTGAGTTCCAGCTTGGCTGCTCGGCAGCGTAACATACATTTCAACGCGGAACAGAAAAGACCTCAGTTCAGTTCGTGAAAATAAACCTTTAACCTTCAGAATCGGCGCTTGCGCGCGACGCCTACACTAAATCAAGAGATACCAACCGCCCAAGCCAAACCCAAAACTGTTTGAAGAGTTCTACAGCAAGGCCTAGAGAAACCCGGCAAAAACACCCTGTGGCAGCCTTTCTGGTAACCCACAAACCCTAAACCCTGAACCCCTAAACCCTAAACCCTAAACCGTAAACCCTTAAACCAATAAACCCTAAACCCTAATCCCTAATCCCTCTCTCGCGAGAGTTGAAGTCGCCTGTTGGTGCTCAGAGGATCCCTCTGAGTCCTGACATCTTAACCCGGGATCAATACCCAGTGCTTAGAGGATCATGGGACTAAGTAAGTAAGGTTATAAGTACCCTAATTGGGGTTATATTTGTAGTTACCTTATTTATAACCCTAGTTACTAAGTCCCATGATCCTCCAAGTAGGGGTACACCCATGGGCCCCATAGTAGTTCCTTTTTGAGGCTTCTATTTAGGATCCTATTGGGTAATGTCTGAGTCCTGACATCTTAACGCGCGATGAGTGCCCAGTAGAGGGAATGTACAATGCAGAGGTGGACTTTGAATCCGACAGATTTAGTTTAGGGTTTAGGGTTTAGGGTTTAGTTTAGGGTTTAGGGTTTAAGGTTTAGGGTTTAGGGTTTAGACATGAGGTGGCTGATCACACCCTGAGCCTTGTAACCCCGAACCTCAGCAAAAGCACCAAACCCGAGGACTGCACTCCAAACCTTCTAAAGCCTCTAAACTAACCTACTAACCCTATCGACCTACACCCTGAACCCTCAACCCAAAATCCAAAACCCAAACCCTTAACCTCTCCCAAACCCTAAAAACTGTATAAGAACAAAAAAACTTTCATCCCTCAACCCAAAGCCCAAAATCCAAACCCCTTAGCCTCTCCTAAACCTTAAAAGATGTGTAAGAACAAAAACCCAAAGGGTCCCAGTAATAATATGGTAGCTACTTTGGAGCTATTTGGGCCCCAAAAGTATATACCATGCTATAGCTTGGGCTTTCATCCCTCAACTTGAGGTGACTACACCCTCTGGGAGGGAGCAATCTCGGAGGAGGGCCTGCAGGTGGAAATCTCTGGGCCCTACCTGGAGCTGCAGAGGATGACCGGGATTTCGGGGCGGAGGGTGCAGGGCTAAGTTAGGACCCCCCAAAAGGGACAGAAGCATAAAGAGTTTTATAGGGATGTCCCTGCCTTATTGGGCTTCATTATATGGGATATCCCTATCCAAATGTTTGCTTATGTGCTTTTCTGGGGCCCGATTTGAGTCAGGGGTGGAACGAGTGTAGGGTTGACAGGGCTTTAGGGTGTAGGGTTCAGGGCTTTAGGGTTCAGGGTTTCGGGTTTAGGGTTGAGGGTGGCAGGAGTTTAATATAGGGGCCTAAATAATTACCTCGACCATTTTGGGGAATTCCTTATTATAATTATACACTAAGGATCCCCCGAAACCCTATTCTAATTATGAAGGCCTCCAGATTAGGGGGCAGGGCTTAGGGCTCAGGGTTTAAGGGAAGCCAAAACCCTGAAACCTCAAAGCCCAACGCCCTGATGCTGATGAACTCTGAAGGGTTTAGTGGTTTAGGGTTTAGGGTTTAGGGGTTTAGGGTTTAGTGGTTTAGGGTTTAGGGGTTTAGGGTTTAGCGGTTTAGTTCTTTGCGCTTAGACACGAAAAAACCTAAGCAGCAAACCCTAAAACCACAGCCTCCAAACCGAATAGCGGTAAACCTTGAATGCTAGATCCTAAACGGCCCTGAACCCTAAATCCCAAAACGCCTTAAACCCTAAACCCAAACCCTAAACCCTAAACCCTAAACCCTAAACCCTACCCAAAGCGCCTTTCAGGAAGCTGTCTGAGCTCCAACAGTCGGGTCGACTCGTTTGCTTGGCATCCCGGAACTCCTCCAGTGAGCAGATCGAGGGACTGCTGAAGGACGCCATTTGAAATGGATGATACCTGTAGTCTCCATTGTAGTTCCTTTTGGGGGATACCTTATAAAATCGGTCTAATCAGTCCTGAAACAAGCGAGCATCCAGTCTGCAGCCTGGTAGGGTTTATTATCCCGAAGGGCCCATGTGCCCAAATAGTATATACTTTGGCCCCAAAGTACCTGCATAGGGACTACTTGCAGGCCAAAGTAGACACTAATTGAGTACATGGACCCTTCGGGTTATACCTGTAGTCTCCATTGTAGTTCCTTTATGGGGGGATACCTTATAAGATCCTGAATATATATATATATATATATATATATATAATTGGTTAAACCAAAAAAAGGAACTACAATGGAGACTATAGGTATATGTGGGGTGGATTGGGGCTGTGGGCGTTTAAGGAGTGTAAGGCCCCTATACCCTAAACCCCTCAACCCCTAAACCCTCAGCCCTAAAGCCCTCAAGCCCTAAACCCTACACCCTAACCCTGCGCACTAAACTCTAAACCCTAAACCCCTCAACCCCTAAACCCTAAGCCCTACAACCCTTTTTGGGTTTATGAGTTTCGGGCTCTGGAGTTTTGGTTACAGGCTTCCGATTCTAGGCCTCGGCTTTTGGCTGCAGGATTCCCACTGGTTGCAATGATTCCTCTCTTTGCATGACGGTGGTGAAGGTGGTTATGATGTTCATGGTGTTGAAGATGACGGCGATGACAAGGATGGGATCTTGCCTGTTGTCCCTGATGATGGCCACGACGATGCGGATGATGGTTGACCATCCCTACTTGGAGGTTCATGGGTAGTTATAAGTGGAGTTATATGTCTCCTAAGAGGTTATAACTAAGGTACCCACTTATAACTACCCATGAACCTCCAAGTACCTTCCATTGCTTATCACCCCTATATAAACCCTAAACCCTAAACCCTCAACCGTGAGAACTTGTGGTCCCTGCGCACGAAAACCCGGAACCCCGTGTCGGATCGGATCGGTGAGCAAGTGCCCACACTGGGATGCCTTCCAGGCTGAGGGTGTAGGGCAACAGATGCTCCGATGAAAGCGATGACAATATATATATATATATATATATATTTATTTATGTTTATGTATATGTATATATATATATGTACAAATATGTATGTGTATATATATATATATCGACTCTCTCTCTCTGTCTCTCTCTCTGTCTCTCTCACTGTCTCTCTCTCTGGCTCCACGTCGGGCAAGTTGGGCTCTGTCGGTTCGAGCATCCTTGGCGCGCCCCAACCTGCGAAGGAACGCGCCGCTGAGTGCGCGCTGATGTGGGATCAGGTGCAGCAGGGTTCCCGGATCATGGCGGTTCCTAGCGCAACTTCAGCTAGAACAGGGCAACGAAGGTTGGTGGTGGTGGTGGTGGTGGTGGTGGTGGTGGTGGTGGTGGCGGCGGCGGTGGTGGTAATCGTATGTCGTTTAGCGATGCAGGGTACACGGGTACACTTGGAAATTGTGCAGATATCTCGACAAGCTTGCAACTGTGATGCTCGCAGACAATGTTCTGTTCGAGGTAGTCGTCACATACAGAGCTTTTGCTGACAATGTTGAAGGATAATTGTCTTGATTGAAGACTTGACGTGGTGCTCTTCTCAGAAGTCTCGGGGTGTCTGGGTTGGGTGTGTCAATGATCCCTGGACTCCTTCATCGAAGCTTTGTGACTTGAAAATTGAAATTCGATGGATGCAGCACACACGCCCCAAAGGCCCTTCAGTATCAACCCTACACACTGTGGCCACATACGGCCCCCAAAATATCTAAGCCTTAAGCGCCCCGACACTCTTACCCTTAAAGCATTAAAGTCTAAATCCGGCGGTTCCTACTTGGAGGTCCACGGGTAGTTATAAGTAGGGTTATAAGTAGGCTAACAAAAGTTATAACCTATATTAGGGGACTTGTAACTCCACTTATAACTACCCATGAGCCTCCAAGTATCCCTGCTTCCCACGGATGCGGAGGTGGTGGCCGCCGAGGTGGGCCGTGGTTCCATGAAACGTACCATACTTTAATGCTTTTTTTTGGGACCTGTTCCATAAAGGAGCCACTATAAAATAGAAGTCTATATTTGTTCTCCCTGGTTACTTCAAAGCCCAGCTAAGCAGGAGGACATACAAGCCTTGGTGGTTACCAACCCCAAGGGTCCATGTACTCATATAGCATATACATGGGCCTTAAAGTACCTATATAGGGACTACATTAAGGCCAATGTATATACCATATGAGTACATGGACCCTTAGGGCAACATTATTCCTGAGCGTTCCTTTTTATGAATACAGCATCATATACCACAAAAACCTTGTATCGGGTTTGCTAGATTATGGGCTACTGGGATATTGGTACTTTGGTACGATATATGGGTAGATGTCAAAATGATGGTCCCTTTTGGGGTACCCTAAATAATAGGTGCCGTATTATAATAAGGACCCAAGAAGGGACCATAATCTTGACAACCACCCATATGAGTTTAAGGATCTTGATTGTGTTTGTCGGATTCGGGTGGCCAGTTTAGGGTGCGAAGTTGTTGATTGAGGTTTACGGTTTAGGGTTTAGGGTTTAGGGTTGATTGTAGGAGTCTTCCTGGATTTGAACAAGCGGGAATGAGGAAGCCCTTGTAAAGAGAACTCCTGTACATCTTGTACCCTGGCGGGTACGTCGAGGTAAGCCCTAAGTCGTAAACCCGAACTAGATATACCAAGCCCTTCTAGTACCCCTTCTGGACCTTGTTTTGGGAACCCTTATCAGAACCCTCTACACTTTTTAATCATTAGAGCTCATGGGTAGTTCTCTCAATTAGGGTCCCTTTTGGTAATGTTCAGAAGAGTGCCGTAGTTTTTGGGGGACCCTAATTTAGAGAACTACCCTTAAAGTATCCGTTTTGAAACCCTATTGAAACCATTATAGCTCCCTGCAAGGACCTCTAAAAAGGGACCCTAACTAAGTTCACCCTTCGCCCTAAAGCCTAAATCCTAAGCCGTTAACCCTAAACCCTAAACCCCAAACCCTAAACCCTAAGCCCTTAACCCTAAAAAGGGACCCATACTGTTGACGATATAAATCCTGCATTATCTTCAGGACCCCAAACTATGGGAATCATGGTACAATCTTTATTATAGCTAACGCAGGATTTAATTTCACCAACCCCTAAACCCTAAAAGCCCTAAGCCCTAAACCCTAAAAGCCCTAAATCCTTAACCCAAAACCTAAATCCTAAATCCATAACCCTAAACCCTTAACCCTAAACCCCAAACCCTAAACCCTAAACTCTCAACCCAAAGCCCTTAGTTTCGAGTTGGAGGTGCACCCTGGCGCGAAGCCGGAGAGCCTCCGCCGGCTCTCGGAAGCCTTGGACCTGCCCCTGGAGGCGTAGCTCGGCTCAGCTTTTAGGGTGTTGGGGGTTAGGGGTTTAGGGTTTAGGGGTTCAGGGGTCTAGGGGTTTAGGGGTGT